CAGTGGCGATGCTGCTCAGCGTGAAGTGTGAGGCAACGCTCAAGGAGACATGGGAGGTGAATTAGAGCCCGCCGTCTCCAACCACAACGTTGGGGTCAGAGGTCCGGCACTGTTCGGGAACACAGGGGGGACGATACCCAAGCCAAACGTCACCAGCTGCAGCGCTGGTACCGGCGCGTGCGCGGCAGGCTGGCTGTCCCAATGGGCTCTGGGGCTGCCCAACGGGATGTTGAGGGCGAAGCTGGAACTGATGGGAAGAGTGGGGAAGTCCTCAGATACAGCGATTGTGTGTGATGAACATGGGAAGCGCGTGTGAGAAGTGAGCCGCTGGTGGTTTTGGTGCTCGTCGGCATGATGTGGGCACTGAGGCCAGAACCCAACGCTATCTCAGCTACAATGGTGGAGCAAGGCATTCCCGCCTTGTGGGGGTTGGGCGCCCAGCTCCAGTTGCCGGGTGCCTCTCGTCGACCAGCCAGTCCGTGGCTCTACGGCGGGCGGGGTTCGGGGGGCGCGAGGGACTGACTTCCCCAAGGGCATCGATTTTGGGAGAACCGATGGCCACACGAGCCCCACATCGAACACAAAACAAAAATGGCCCCGAGAGCTGGACCTTATGGCCGTCAAATTCGACGAGGGGGCCCGTCGGCAGCAGCAGCAGCAGCACCCCAAGCAGCCCCCCCGCCCCCTTGACTACGCCACCCACAGCTAGGGCGCGGGCCTGGAGCATGGGCGACGGGTCACACTGGGCCTCTGGTTTCAAAAGCGTCTTAACACTCGCAGGGCTCCGAACGACGGCCAAACAAAGCCTGCTTTGCAACGCGGAAGAGCCAGGAGCCAAGGGAGGGAGGAGGAGGAGGAGGAGGAGGAGGAGGAGGAGGAGGAGGAGGGGCAGGAGGAGGGGGAGGAAGGAGGAGGATGAGGACGAGGATGAAGATGAGGATGAGGAGGAGGAGGAGGAGGGGGAGGAGGAGGGAGGCAGGCAGGCAAGCAGGCAGGAAGGCAAGGAGGAGAGAAAGGAGGGAGGAGAGCGGGGGCTGAAGGGCCGACAGGCTGGCCCCCGTCAGGCGACGAGGCAGTCGCGCGGGCTATCGGTCTGGCTGGCTGAAGGGCCGGCTTGCCGGACCCCGGTGGGGGGGACCAATAAAAATCACTCTTCAGGAATGAAAGTTCAACATCAACTGACGTGCGAGGGAGAGGGAATCAGAAGGAGGGGGGAGGCGGCCCGGGAGGAGGGAGGAGCAGGAAGGTAAGAGTACGAACGTTCAAAGAAGTCCTAGGCGAAAGCGCCATTCCACAAGGAAGTCTCGGGCGGCAGCCCACGACGGGCGGGCGATCCTCTGACGGGCGGGTCGGGCGGGTGGGACGGTCAAGCGGGATGCCTGAGTAGGGCGAGAGCGCGATTCCTAAGTAAAGTGTGACGGCGTCCTTGGCGCAAAGGTAGTGCCTGAGCGTAGATAGCGCGAGTTCTGAATCAACTGCGAAAAAAGTCACATGCGAGAACGCAATTCCTGAAAAGGGGATGTCTGGCGGGAGCGGGCGTCTAGACTAAAGCGCAAGGAAATCTTAAGCGGGAGCGCCGTTCTTGAGTAAATTGTAAGGAAGCCTCAGACGGGAGAGGGGGGACAGGCGGGAGCGCCGATCCTGAGCAAATTGGGAGGAATTCTCAAGCGGGAGCGGTGATCCTGAGTAAAGTTGGAGGAAGTCTCAGGCGGGAGCCGTTGTTGTTGTAGTCCGGGGGAGCAACAACGTAGATTGACCCGGACTAAATTGCGAGGAAGTCTGAAGCGGGAGCGCCGTCCCTGAGTAAATTGGGAGGAATTCTCAGACGGGAGGGGGGGGTCCTCAGTAAATTTGGAGGAAGTCTCAAGCGGGAGCCGTTGTTGTTGTAGTCCGGGGGGCCAGGGGCCCAGTTTGACCAGGAAGACTTCCCCTGTCAAAAAACAAGGTGCGAGCGTCAAGGGGCACACTTTGACTGAGGAAAACAGTATGCACCCGTGAGGGGGGATCAACAATAATTATTCTTCAGGAATGAGAATTCAAACACAACTACAACAACAACAACAACAACAACAGCAGCAGCAGCAGCAGCAGCAGCAGCAACAACAACAACAACAGCAGCAGCAGCAGCAGCAGCAGCAAAACTATCTTTGATCGGTACGAGCTTTGGGTGCTGAAGACTTTCGCCTTCCGGTGCCCATCCGCGGACGGACGCTGTGCGGGCCTCCTGGAGCTACCCTGGGCTCCTTCGGGACCCTCGGGGGACGTTCTCGACTCTCCGGTGCCTCCGCAGGTGAGCCCCAGACCGACCAGCACAGACTGGAGCAAGGGGCAACGATATGGGGGGACCAGCTCAGGGTCAGGTCGGGCATGTCCCCCTACAGGCGGATTTTGGACGAACATGTTTAAGAATAGTAAAAAAGCTACCAAATGGGTGAAAGATAATCAAAAAATCGTCCCCAGACTATTTTTGGACTATTTCTGGATACTCCTCCTGTAGAGAGACATGCCCGACTTAAGCTCAGGGGGGGAAACATCACGCTGGAATCGGCGGTGTATCGCTGATAGATCGGCGATAGGCCACCGATGGCGAATCCGCACGTTCCTGAGCGGGGTGGGCTATCGGGCCCCTGTGGGCGATGAATGGGCAATTGGGGGTCAATGTATCCCCCCTCTCAGCCTACCCCTACCACTGCCCCTGATGGAATAAAAAGTTGCTCCCAGCCCAGCCTGTGGCTGCTGGAGCGGGTTCTGGAAAGGGTCTGGGGCCTGGTGCCACCGCCACTGATCCCACCTTCTGAGACGCGCTTCGACCGGAAGTGTAGTGCAGATGGTATCGGGCTCCAACTTCACCTCGCACATCTCGCCGATCAAGGACACGGCTCTCTGCCACTGCTTTCCTTTCTCACACGCGCTGATCGCAGAGTTGTAGCTGATGGCGTTGGGCTCCAACTTCGCCTCCCACATCTCGCTGAGCAGCGACAGGGCCCGCTGCCACTGCTCGCCTTTCTCGCACGCGCTGATCCCAGCGCTGTAGCTGACTCGGGGTCACCCACCGATTTCGTCCATGAAAGCATCGTCGGCGCATTCCCCAGGCTCGCTGGCGCTCTCTCCGACCACGAGAAACCCCCTCCCAAGGCGGCAGTTCTGGCAAAGCCTCTGAAGTCGATGGATCCAAAATGCGGCCACACTGTCAAAATACAGCGGGCGGGCCAAATGCTATAAAAGAGTAAGTGTTTGAAGGGGCGCAGGGACACACAAATAAATACACACTCGACTTTCGTCTCCCCCTCCACTTCCAATGTGTTCCCAAAGTGTTATGTGAATCCACGCTTATTTATATATCTGTGGCCTGGTTTTCCCTCCCGCATGTTCTCTTGCCAGTGTGGCCGGGACTGCCCCGGGGAAGCGCAAGACAGAAGCCAGCCAGCCAGGAAGGAGGACAGGGGGGAGGGACAGGAGGGCCGAGCGAAGAGAGAAGCCCCGTGGGCGTGCGCCCGAGGAGAGAGAGCAGCTCGTGCAGGCGTGCCCGAGCGACGCCCGAGGGGCTGCCCGCACAGGAGCTCCACGCGAGCCAAGAGCCGGCGCTTCGGAATGGGGCCGCCCGCCAGCGCAGCTGGCGGGGCCAAGCCACCCGGGCGAGCACGAAGTGCCGCGGAAGCCACGGGGAGCCGAGGCGGGAAGGAGAGGAAGAGCAGGAGCAGGGCGACCGGAGGCGACCGAAGGCGAAGTCCGCAGCAGCCGTGGCGCCGCGCAGGGGTGGTGCAGGGCGACGGGGAGATCTGCGAGCTAACCGCCTCTGATGCTCCTGAGGCGGTGGGCACTGCTCCCAAGACTGGGAGACAACGCGAGGTGATAGAAAAATCGTAACATGCAGACCTGTATCCAAGCCGAAGGCTTGCGAGGATGTCTCTGGCAAAATAGGCTGGACCACCTCGCGCGCGGCATCTCGGAGCCCAGAGTTACGCGGATGCCTCAGACAGAAAGTGGCTGGACCACCTCGCGCGCGGCATCTCGGAGCCCTGAATTGCGAAGATGCCTCAGGCAAAAGCGGCCCCGACCACCACGCGTGCGGCATCTCGGAGCCCGAATTGCGAGGATGTCTCTGGCAGAAACGAGCTGGACCACCTAGCGCCCGGCATCTCGAAGCCCTGAGTCGCAAGGACGCCTCAGGCGAAACCAGCAAGAGAACCTCGCGCGCTGCATCTCGGATCCCTGAGTTGTGAGGATGTCTTAGGCAAAACAGACTGGACCACCTCGCGAGCGGCATCTCGGAGCCCAGAGTTGCGAGGACGCCTCAGGCGAAACCAGCCAGCGCACATCGCGCGCGGCGTTTCCAAGCCCAGAATGGCGAGGATGTTTCAGGCGAAACGTGCAGGACCACCTGTGGCGCGCTGCATCTCGGAGTCCAGAGTTGCGAGGATGTCTCAGGCGAAACGGGCCCAGCCACCTTGCGCGCGCCATCTCGGAGCCCTGAGTTGTGAGAATGTCTCTGGCGAAACGGCACAATCCTGGACAGCTCAGAAGCGAGAGTTTCGCGGATGTCGCAGGCGAAACGGGCCGAACCACCTCATGATTTTGAGGATGTGCTTGTGCAGGGGCCCCTGGGGCGGACCAGTTCTCATCAAGAGAGCCCCAGTCAGCACGGCTGTTTCGGGGAAAACGAGGCGGTGCCGAGGCGACAGCGACATTTCGCCGCGCCCCAAGCGACACAAGGCCCAGGGCCTCCCGTGCGCCTCATGGGGGCTCTTGGCCGTCTTGGAGGCTTGTTGGGCAGTCTTCGAGGGCTCCTGGGGCCCTGTTGGGGCAGCGGGGGGGGCCGCCAGGAGGCCCTGGGCCAGGGCCGTCCGAGCTGCTGCTGCTGCTGCTGCTGCTGCTGCTGCTGCTGCTGCTGCTGCTGCTGCTGCTGCTGCTGGTGGTGCTGCTGCGGGGGGGAGGCTTGGCCTTCTGGGTGCAGGCGCCTTCCCCGCCAGCACGGGGCCCTGCAGTGTTGGGGAGATGAC